TTTTTCACACATAAAAATTCTCTGCGAGTAATGGGAAAGGGAATAAGGGATGTCAGCCAAATGAAATATACCACATTTGAAATACTTACATTGTTCTTTCTTCTGCACCTTTATTTTAAAAGAAATTACATTATTTTTTCCAGGTTTGTTGCTATGAATCTCAGATCCCTGTTCATACATCTAGAGCTTATTTAACAGTTTAGTCTTGCATGAGGCTGTGCCAACTCCTTTGGCCAGCAGATCTTGTTTGTTGCTTTTGTTATTTCAAAATCATGTTGCCAGAGCAGGCTAGAAAAAAAAATAATTATCAAACAGGATATTTTTCCTTGTACAGCCCAGATTAAACTAGATCTGCTTCCTGCATACATTCTCCATTCCTTTCTTCACCTCTGCCAGCAGTCACAGAGACCTGTTCCCCACAGACCAGCGGGGTCCTATGCCTGCACCCAGTGGTTCATCAGAGATGATCATGACCATCATCCAGCTGAGCATTCCTCTGTAGCACATGGCAGAACACTTACCAATGCCTCAGTGTTCAGGAGTTAGGAGTGCAAAGAAAGGACTTTCCCAGAAGCCTCCTGACTCAGCTCAGATTTATGCTGTTCTTTCATTTCCCCCTCCAAAGGGGGAAAGTGCTGAACTATAAGCAGCAGTTGTTTCACTGGAGTGCAGCAGCCCCACAACAGCCCCACATTCCAGCCATGACGTTCTTATTGCTAAGCATTCTTTACCACAGCAAAAGCATTTGTTTAATTGGAACCAGATTTGGGTCATAAACCTTAAGCCTATCAAGCTTTATGTTAGCTAATATTTACCTTATTGTACTTTTTTTTTTTTTTTTTTTTTTTTTTCTAGGGACACCCCAAAAAAAAAAAAAAAAAAAAAGAAAAAAAAGAAAAAAGAAAAAAAAAACAACATTGCTGTAAAGGGAATGCAGGCAGGCAAATAAAGCAAAGGAAATCAGGAAATACTGTGAACTGCATGTGACTTGCAGCTGCAGGGTCCCTCACAATAAAGAACCCTGCCTCAACAAAGTGGCTTATGTGCTTTAACAAGTATCAGCTGTTTGTTTGGGGTGTAATGAACAAACTAGAGCCAGAGTGACAACTGCTTCAAGTAATTATGAAGACAGCTTGCAAACTATAGCCCTACTTGTTTCAGATTCTGAATGACGACAGTCAGGCTACTGTTGTTGCCAGCTTTATTTCTGAGCATTTTTATTTCCATATTTCAAAGGTCAGTGTGTGGTGGCAACGGCAGCCACAGAAAGTCTGTGTGAGTGGTATATGTGTGCCCATGTCTTCATGAGAGAGAGAGGACAAAAAAGAAAGAAAAGCATTTTTCAGCATTGCCAATTACTGCTGCATTAATGAAAACTCTTAATGAAGTGTTTATAATATGTTAAAACCTGCAAGTCCAGATAAGATGGGGGTTTCCTGGCTGCAGATGTTATTTGTATGTGTAGCAGGGGAGACTGCCCTGAGGAGGTTACAGAGCTAATGGGAGAGAGGGTGAAGCAGTGATCCCAGGGAAACTCAATGCTGTTCTTTGACAGAGAGCTGTGAAACATGAAGTAACTTATCCAGGAACACAGAGGGTTTTACATCCAGGTAAAATTTGAATTGACTGGAAACCCCCTGAATCTCATGCCATTATTTAGGTTGCATCTTTTCTTTCCTCCAGTAATTTATGTTTTAAAATGCTGAAGAGGTTATTGTGTACGTGGATCAATGCTTGGTACAATTTCTACAGGAAATTCATAGCAATTTTACCTGAGTACTAGTTTAATTTGTCCAGAGTGATCTAATTTTTATTTTGCATGGTTTTTTTTTTTTTTTTAGTAAATGCATTCATTAAATATCTCATGAAATATATGTGAAATAGTATAGAAAGGGAGGTGATAGTGAAAGAGCTAAATTCATTGGTGAGAGAGAGAGAACAGAAGTCACCTTGGTCCCAGAGCTAAAGTCTCACTTCAGGCACATCTTCTGCAAAAGCAGGATTTGTGGGAGAAAGGTCTAAAGGGAATATGAATGGAACGAGCAAATTAAGGGTCTGGACACGGGAAGGCTAGAGGAGAAATATTTTCTGTGGAAATTAGCAAGATAGAAGAGGATATTGATTTAAAAATGACAGCGGTTACTCTAGCTGTTGGGAGAGAGCATGTGGCAGATGGCAGCAGAGGGGCGCTGACAAAATGGTGTCTGACATGGAAGTATGTATGAAGCAAAGCTGTGGGACTGAATTCCTCTGTGCAGAAAAAAATGGCACCCATTCACATTCATCAGCTCTGGCTGTACATTTATGGAGTCCAAAGGTTGGATGTGAGCACAGTGAGGCAGTGGGTGGTGCATTTCAGCAGTGGTGAAAGTGAGTGACCTCCGCTGATTTAGATTTTTATGTCCGTGGCATCTTGTTCATCGCTGGTGAAAATTCACAGCAGTAGTGGTGACTGTGTTGACAAACAGTGCTTTGTAGCTGAGAAACTGCTCTATCAAATAGTGTTATTGGGCTCTTTGTATCTGTTGTAGTTTCCATGAAAATAAATAGGAAGCATTAATTTTGGAGCAACCTGTGTGCATGGTCCGAAACATATGTATGCATACTATATAAAACTTTTAGTCTGAAAAGCTGACTAAAAATCCCACTGACTTTGGTCATTTCCTCTGTAGGATAATTTGTAATACCTACTTGCGGCACAAGAATTGTGCACAAATTGTAAGTAAAATTTGAATCCTTATATGGTAGTCCCATTCTTACTGTATTTCATAATAATAATTCAATCTTCTTTAAGCCTCACTTGGCACATTTCCACATGTGTCATTTTGTAGGCTTGCCCCAGGACATTCAGCAGAGAGCAGCATGTGCCACTCCAAAGCAGCCATTTCATAGTGGCCTCTGGATGTCTTTTACTGCTGAGTGCATTCAGTTTCTGTTCTTCTCCTGATAATCTTATTCCTACAGAACCTGCTTACACAGGTTTCTCCAGAGCTGCTAAAATGAGGGAGGCAGGGAGCCATTGTTCTGGCTGTCTCTTGTGGATGTCATTTCTAGTTCTTTTCCCATTTGAAGTCCTTGGGAATTTTTGCTCAATAGGAAACAACCTGATGCAGTGTCCCAGCTTCCCTCCTCTGGAGCACAGTTGTTCTTGTGTAGAAATTAGAGTGTTAAGATTAAAGACAAATTGAAGTCTCAGTAAACACCAGCTGGGGAACATTGTATGCATAAAACTTTGAAAATGAAGCTGTCTTTGTTACTACCAATGAGTGATTAGGTTTGCTCTTAGGAACTTTTCTACAAATCACAGTTGAAAATTTTAATAAAGATCTAATATTGCTAAGCAGGTTGCAGTAGATATTGAGGATAAATGTTGTCAAATGCGCATCAAGGAAACTCAGGAGCACCACTGTAGAGCTATATGTAGTATTTAATATTTGTTTTTTTTTCTTATTTTATAGTGTTCAGCTGATTATTTTGAAGTTTAGCCATTTGCTATTTCCTCCAAGGGTGGAAAATGTAAGAAAAGTACAGAGGTGATCATCAGTTGCCCCAAGGCAACTCAGATGGTAAACAATTGAGGTGAGACTACAGTACGGGGTTAGATTTGCACAGTCATTGGGGTAAGCAGGGTTAAGGCAGGCTCTTATGACTCAATAGCACCTACGACTCTGTAGCAGAATTTTTCAAAAAGATATTATCATTTAAAAATAAAGTGCATCAGCCATGCTGATTAGTATGCTGTATGCAGTGGCAAATAATAACAAAGAAATGAAAGTACAGATAGGCAATGTGACTCAGGTAGAAGTAAACAGTTCAATGTGATGAATTTCAGGTATGTCTGACAAATAATAAAACAATGTTACTGGCCTTTTTTTTTCTCTCTAAAGTGGAGAAAAATACCTTTTCCCCAAGATTTACCTCATTTACTCAGTGCCAGGTTAAGGTAAACTGTATGCTTCCTCTCAACCATATTATGCTTCTGCATGATTGATATCTCCTAGCCTATTTATGGGAGTGCAGAGTGGCTTGTAGGGAGGGCCTTATTTTAGAAGCACATTGAGTATGCTGGGAGAATGCCATTTTTCTCCTTAGGTAGTCTCTATCTTTATTCTTTTCTGACAAGAAATTTAGGCTTTGATGCCAAGAAGCACAATGAAAAAGAATTGTTTTCTCTTGCCCATTATCTTCCTCTTTATTGAACCTGGGAATTGGTTTATTTCTGTGAGATGTTCACTCAAGAATGGAATGCTACTTTTTAATTTATTTTGTCATATGCAATTTCTTGTTTTATGATGGAACCGATGGGATTTTTTGGTATTTTTTTTAACACTAGGTTTATAAAAAGGCAAATAGGCAATTATAGCATGGTATTTACATTCTAAAAAAGCTTTCTATGGCTGCCATTCTTGCAGTGTTTCTAGCTTTGTCTTTATTATGGATCCATTTTGCTTACTGTCATCTACAATATTTTTCATTAGTAATGATAAAGTTAGAAAAACATACAAAAAAAATGTACAAAAATCTGTAGACCGAGCTGAAAATGCTGACGTATTAAGTCAATAAGGGATTCCCCCTAATGTTTCCTAGGATCTTTAAATATTATCAAAAGCAGATATTTCTGCATTTCAAGATCCTTCATGTGTTCTGTACCCTGCAGGCCGTATGTCTACAAAAAGATGAGGGAGAATTATCTTTACACAATTCTTCTTTAAGCAAACTCTTTCTCATTTTCACATCTGCTCTACAGGGTGATGCCACTCTGCAGAAGTTCAGAATGTAGACTTATGAGGGAAATACTTATGCTTTGTTCTTGAAAATTAAACATGCTCTATTGTGGAACAGTGCAGTGCCTAGTTTTACTAATTCAGATGGTCTGTGAAGAACTAGAGAGGCTAGGAGATCTTTCCTTAGAAATTATTTTTGAAATTTCTCGCAGGTGCTGCAATCTGGCACATTTTGAAAGTAAAATATTTAAACTGAAGTACATTTAAATCCTTCTCTTGAGTTTCACGTCATTTATTTGCAGGCTAATGTTGTTTCTCAAGGTGGCCCATGGACAAGTAATTCTTTTCCCTGCTATACTTGCAGTATTCATAGGGAAGCAATGCCATGAAAAGAGAACTTGAACATTGCGGTATTCAAACATTCCATGGGATCTACAGTAATATTGCTCAAAATGTGGACCAAAGAGTTTAGATGAAAAAAAAACAGGAGGTCATATAATAAAATAGGGTCTTTGTTTAGGGTCCAGGAGAGGAGATGATGATGTGCTATAGGCTTAGCTGCTAAGAGACTGGAGAAGGCATTCTCTTAGCACCAATGTCTTCGAAGCACGATGACAGCAGCATGATTATGATTATGCAGATTCTGGATGAAAAATAGCTGGCAAAACTTGAAGTGATGCTGGTCAGTGAACTGAAATTAAAACAACAAAAAAAATTGGTTGAATATCTTCTCAGGCTCCCACTGAAGGCATATACCCATTATCTGTTGATGCATGACAAAGCCTTGTGAATATGGAGTTTATCTGCTAGTGAAATTTGGATAAATAGATAATACTGTTTTCCAAATACTGGGATCATGAATGGACAGAAATCTAGTAAAGATCGATTTAAGGAATCATTGTATCCATCCAGGAATATAATTGCTTCTAAGGGAAGCACTAAAGTTGAGAGTAACCATGTTAAGCAGAAGGCTGATGCCATGTTTCCAGTGTCTTGGCCCAGTGTGAACACAACAGGTATTCACTGAAGTGTTTCAGCTACTCCAACCAGCTGTCAATTCCAGTTCATAACTCATGTCCTAGCTTACAGAGTGAGTAATGAATTGAGTTTCAGCTACATAAAGATCAAATTTCTCTGACAGCTGAGGAGATACAAATCCCAAATATAAAAACTTATCTGTTTGGGAAAGGAAAATGGTGGAGAAAGTAGCATCTGTTATGGAAGAACATGGCCCCAGAGACCACACAGGTCCAAATGCTGAGCATATTTAGCATGGAATGTAAATCATTTACATCCAATGTGACAATTATAATCTCAGATTTATTCCTGAATTTATATTTCCCAAAAACTCTTAACCCAAGCAGAGTTTTAGTATCAAAGATGGTAAAGTGGAACTGACCCTGAAACTCCCTGGGGATTTTACTGTTGAATTTGATTTGTATATGGAAAGTCCTCATATGTTAACATTGACTTATCACCTTGTTTAAAAAAAGCAGGACTTAATAAGGTGAACTTCCACCTGAGTGTAGGGGTTAAATTTGTGGGTAGAACGGAGAAATATAAGTAGCAGAATAATAAGCAGGATATGTGCATTGATTTCAAGGGCTGGTTCACATGTTTTGAAACTAGGAGAGGAGGGCTGCTGATGGATTTTATCTCATACAAGGATTTTGTCTCTTAAGACTACTTAAACAAGATATAAATTAAAATTTTAACTATAAAAACAAGGTGGCTCAGCACTAGCATCTGCCTTAGAGAGATATTCCTATATAGCAGACTGGGTGTACTGTGTAAACAAAGCATGGCACGTGGGATCCATACTATATTCTAACTGTGGGAACTACAAAGACTAAACTATATTCAATTCTGAAATGCATCTGAGAGTAAGTTTAATTGAGTAGGTAGCTCAGAAGAAGCCCTGTTACTTTTTCTAGGCTAACACAAAGGCTAACACGAATGATGTTGGCAGAAGAAGTTTCTGAAGCCCATGGGTATAAACTTCCCCATGCTATTTGTTAACTTGCACATTTTATTTGTTTATGTATTGAAAATAGTACTATTTATTTGATCTGTTCTCTAGGAAATATTGTGTCTGCATACTTGCTCCAGTTTTCATTGGACTTAGATACCTTTCCTTCCTACCTTCTGTCTTAACTGTCCTTATAACTTTTCAAGAGATCATACCACTGAAGCCAAGTCCCAGAGAGACCCTTGCAAGAGAGGCAGCAGGACTGGTTTAAAATCTAGAGCCTACAGGAATAATAACAGCTTTAAATGTCTATGTCCCCTTGTTTATGGTGCTGGGTTTCTTGTAGCAGTATATCAAAACAGTCAGGATGCAGGTCCTCATGATGCAGGGATGCCAACTGCTCCTACTGCTGAGCTGCGAACACAGCAAAATCTGTGACAACTCACTCCACACTGTTGTAATTCTTAAGTTAGAAAAAGTCTTTTGCTCATTGCTATACCTGATTTGGTATGCCCGGAAATGTCCTGGGGCTTGATGAAGACACTGGTGTCACTGAGCCATAGGATGTGAGCGAAGCATTGCAGATTAATGCTGGCCTGGGGAGTTCTGCACCACACTGTCTTCCTCGGTCTTGAAAGCCATGGTTGTTCAGCCTTTGCTTTCCCTGGGTGGAAACTGTAAAAAGCGTATTTGTGAGCTCTATGCTCATCAAATTCTTTCCTGAGTTCAGAATTCTACTGAGTTCAGAAAAATCTAGCATGATCTGTTCATTCTTCACTCTAGATTTGCTGATATTATTTACATTAGTACATCTTTCCAAATTCTGTGTTGCTGGTACTCCACAAACATGTCATTGAGTTAATTATCTCTTTAATCTCTTATATTAGAATCCAGAAATAACTGAAGGAGAGATGAAATTGAGCTATAAGAACTTGTTGAGGACAAAGCAAGGAGTATAGAAAATCGGAAACATTATGCATAATTAAGAAGACTGCTAATGATCACTTTAATCAATGAAATTAGAGATGGAAAGGCTGCAAGGTCACATATTTCAACCAAGGCCTCTGACAGCTTATTTCCTTATCACAGTTTTCAATTTCATGCCTGATTTTGACTTATCCTGCACTTCCAGCTAACAAGAAAAATCTATTTTAATTTCACAGATCTAATTCTACTCTTTCCAGAAAGCTCAAGGCAAAATGAAGAAGGCATTTGCAAGAATAGAGGGTTAAAGCATATGGGATTTTAACTTAAAAACGCTCTAGTGTAGTTGAAACTATACCCTAGTCTGTTATGGCTTTGCATTTATTTTCTGCTCTGGACCTTAGAAGCAGCTTGCACCTTCAGAAAACTATAGCAATTCTAGAGGAAGGACTGGGAGCAACCAGCATTGCCAATGAGAGGGTTGTGCTGCACCACAACTTTGGCAATATCCACCATGCAGCAGCAAGCTTCCCAGAAGCCACCATGAGCCTTCAGAATGACAAATAACATCACTGTGGTTTAGGTGCAGGTCTTGGAAAAACCTGACGTGGAGCACCTTTCCTGTGTGGCATTTTGCAGGGCACCAATATGTCCTTCTGAACCTACATCTCCATATTTTGCAACAAACCAGAAGGGACAGGGGAAGCATTGGGAGGGCAAGCAAAGGAGGATTCTCATCTTGTTCTACTTCTGCTGCTAAACGAGCTTAAAAGTGATGGGTTTTGGACACTTAAGGCCACCCACTTTATGTTTCTGCATCTACCTTAATTCGCTGTACCAAATCTATACTGCCTTATTACAGCAGTATAGGTCCTTATTCACCCTTAGTGCAGTTACTGGGGTTTTCATCAAGAAAGTCCGGATGTGGCGGGAGTGGACTTTGTGAAGAGGTAGAGAGGATGTTGCCTATTCATGCATCAGAAAAGATATACGTGGGGTATGATATACGTAACTTGAAAGATGTGACAAACACCTGAGTCATCCTCTCTGTTTCCATCTTGCTCTTCAACAGTAAGGCTGATGAAGTGTAGGGTAGGCATAGGAAAACTAAACAGTGGGAAAAATAGATAACCACTTCATGCTGTGGATATAAATAGATCAAATACAACTCTATTTACATGCTCAAAACACTGCATTTACCTGGAAAGATGCTTTAAACTCTGAAAGATAAAAAGGTTTCTCAGCAGAGATCAGATTTTGTGCCTTCAGAAACCTGATTTATGCCAACCCTAGGTGAGACTGTGGATCAGAAAGCTGAAGTACGTGAAAAGGAGTAGAGAAGGAGGGAAGATTTCAGGGGTAAAGAGGAGAATAAGCATTTTGTTCAGGAAAAAAAAAAAAAAAAGTTTTACACATAAACACAGGAAAAAAAAAATACTGAATACTAGTGTTGTTTGTGTGCTTTTCCTGTTAAAAATGAGTAATCTGCCTAGAGCCATAGGTCCAAATCTAGACAGGATTGCCTTTGCCCTGCATCCTCAATTTTCATCTCCATGGGAATAGATTAGTGCTTAGCAGCACATGCTACAGCAGGAAATGGTCTCAGTGTGTGTCGTTCCTCTGATCCAGAGCAATTCCTTGCTCAGTGCATTTCTATGATCAACTCAGGGGTTCTTTTTACGTGTTCAGCAAAGCCTTCTGCATTATTTCAAACACATGACACAGCGCCAAATTGTATTGTTTTTGTAATCTAATTTGTGCTCTTTGCATCTCTCAGTAGGAGTGTATATATCTAAACAGGCTTTTTCAGCTTTCCGTGCTTTGACTGTCCATATGCTCTTTTGCTTCTATCCTGGATGAATTCTGTAAGTAAAACCATAAGAACCAACAAATTAGATGCTCAAATTGAGGCAGTGTATTTCTATTTTTTGCAGAATACCGATCAGACCTGCTTCATCTGACACAGCTACTAAGGTCATCTTTCACTCGAATTAACATAAAATTAAGATGAGTAAATCAGTGGTGCATATGTTGTTTAGGGGAGTTACCCCCTAAGTCTATCTGCTAGCCAGACATACGGATAAGCTAGGCACAGATTAAACAGGTCTGCACTGACATTAAAATGCTATTCTTGTGATAAATATTGCAGTACAAACAAGTATATGACAAATATAACCCTGACTACATTCATTTTCAGGGTAATATTGATGAAATCCTGGGGCTGTTCTGTATGCTTCATGCATTAGTTCAAGATTTGTCAGCAGATGCCAATAAAAAGCCCCAAAGTAAACAAGTTAGATTTCTTTTAATTGTCTCCCTTGGTAGATGTGGAAGAATTTTATCACTCTTCATATTTGAATTGGTAATTACTAGAATAACAACTAATGATTTGTAGCCTTCGATGTGTCCTGGGTGGAAATCTGAAGAAAGTGAATTGTTGAAAAAGTCATAGATTCCAGCCTCAGATGCCAGTACTTCTTTATATTATGTTGATGTCAGCACCAAATATTGCAATAGGTCTTTTTTTCCTTCTGAACTGTAGGTTGCTTTAGCAGCCTGATAGTTAGGTGCCCTAAGAGCTCTGAAATTAAGAAACAGCTGGCAAAGTCATGAGGTGCCTTTTAAAATACATCTTTAGGGCCGTATTGTTTACTGGGCACAATGTGCACCTGTACAGAATATTAACCCTCTGCTCTCCTGTGGCTCAGAGCAACCTGCTGCCAAGGATGCATGCCAGCCCAGGGGAACTGTTCCATGCTCTGTGTGCTTCATTCTTTGAAACTTCATGGTCACAGGGGCTTTCACAGGTAAGGCTCCTCCAACTATCATTTGCAAGTTGTGGCTTTGGTATTTCTGTGTGGGGAAAATCAGTTTAGATCTTCTGACATCTCCTTGTGTCACCTGGTCTGGTACTGGACATGTTTATTCTGTGTCTTCAAAGTGCAGTTTGCACTTTTAATTCAGTCCTAAGGCTCTGTTGCAGAGTTAAGGCACCAATTTAAAAAAAAAAAAAAAAAAAAAAAAAAAAAGGAAGTTATTATACTTATTTCATTACCTTATAGTGGTGGGAAACATAGGTTCAGTAGTTGTATTTTTTGAGCTCTGAATCATGCTTTTCACCTTCTGTAGCTAAGAAATACTTGGCTGTTATTCATTCAGGCTTCCTCTTTAGATACCTGTGCCCAATTCCTAGTTGAGACAGCAAGAGACAAGAAATCACATCTCATTTTTGGTGCCTTGTTGAGCATCAGAAACTCTTGTCACAGTGACAAGAAATGACGCCTCTGGCAGTCTCTGCCCAGACCTTCAGTAATAGGGCTGAAACTGACCCTGACTGAGAAGAGGAAAGCTTTTACAGCTTGCTTGTGCTTTGCCTGGCTTTTACTAATGCCACAGGCTGCACAGGTGCACAAACTCTCAACTGCAAATATACAGATCTGTTATTCCTTGTAGGCCTGTGTTATTTCAAAGTGACATTGAGCTACTGACCTGTGTTTTTAAAGTGAAGTGTGGTCAATGACCACACTTTATTTTATAGCTCTTGCACAACCCTGAAATTGCAGCACCAACAGGGAAATATATCAGCAAAAATTTTGATCACGTTCATAGGCTAACTCCAACTTAACTCCATATCAATCGAAGTGTTTGTTTGCAGTGATGTAAATTTGCATTTGTTTTAAAGAATTTGCATTTGTGGTGAAAAACTATCAAATCTTGGTTTCTAAAGCATTTTCTAAAGCACATCTGCTTTATTTTGTTCTGCTTTATACATACATATATTTATGCGCAACACTGGGAGAAAATACTTTCCCTCAGTAAGCTAGGAAAAGGGTCTGTCGAGACTATGTAGCCAGCATTTCACTTCTTTGCCCTGAGACTGAAGTATCGCAGCAACTGAAGTTGTCAATTACTTTTAAAGCAAGCTGTTTGTAGGCTATTATTCCCAAGGCTTTACTTGCTTGCTTCCTTTGCAAGTAAGATGATGGAGACAGCTCCCCTATTAAACAATCTGTCACCGTCCTTCCTGCTAAGTCCTTACCCCAAACATCCTATCTTCAGCTTCTGCCTCAGTCCACTTATTTCTCAGACTGAGGCAATCTGCTGCAGACTGGTGGGCTTGTGAACAACTCTCTCATCTATCACTTGGAGACATGAAAACTACATAGTGAACTCAGCATCCAAAAGTTAGAATCAGACATTTTGCTTTCAGTTGTTTCTTAGATTTGTTGCTTCATGTTTTGAAGAGCTCCACAATCTGACCATCACTTTGAAATAGAAAATGCCTTCTCATCTGTTTTTTTTAGACTAACTAAGGACTTCTGAGGACTGAAAAACATTGTGTTTCATAAAAGTCACAGGACTTGCTGGAAATATTTTGATGACATATATTGCCTTTGTGAGGAAAGAGAAGAAAGCTGGAAAACACAGAATTCTCTTTTACTCCTAATTTCCATGAAGAGATGAAATCCTGTGATGTTCCTTTTCAGCATACTTTAGCACTTTCACGTGCACTGGCACATAGCCTAGGAGAAGGAAGGCATGATGCTATTTTGTGGGATGTACCAGGGGAGTGATTCCCAATGATGGCAAAGATGCAATAATCCCATCATACAAGGGCCAGGTAAAGCAACATCTGGAGTTTGCTGTTGGTCAGTGAAAATGAAATTACAGGGGAACAATTGTAGACTACAGGAATTGACAAATGTAAGAAGAGTTTGTCCTAGAAATAAAAATGAGCAAGCCAAGTTATTTATTCATGAAACAAAGAATGGGTATGGAAAATATTGTTCTGTAAGAACATGTCAGC